TACTGATATCTAGGAAATGGGATCCTCATATTCAAAGGAAACATAGTCTTTGTTTAAGAAAAATCTTCTTCCATTCAAAAGGCTTTCACAGCCACAACCTTCTATCACCTTTTAATAGGTTGATATACTGTGCAAATTCAATCTACGGTGTTCACAGAGAACTGACTGATCCTTCTGCAGTCAATGGAAAGAATCCTTACTCCATGTGCTGATGGAAGAAAAGCTGCCTCTGTCAAAAACATACAGCCAGTTCCACCACCCACTTAATATCCAATGTATCCTCCACCACTTCTGAGAATGGTCTGATACCTATTTTCCTTTTTAAAAAATCCCAAAATCCATGTTACCTACTGGTTGGAGGATGAATCCTCAGATATTAAGAGTTCCACCTTCTTGTGGTATAAAATCATCCTTCACTATAAAGTCTACCACCTCCAACTATGGACTTCAAATGACTTTTATGGACTAGAACTAGAAAACTTTCACCAGTAAAAGGAAACCATGTGCATCCATCAAGACGAAACACTTCTAAGAAGAGCTGGACTTTATATTCCCCAAATGGATACAACATCCACTCCATACCTTTTTCCTAATGTAACCACAGACAACAGGAGCTTCCTCTACCCCCTTCACATAAGCTACTGAGGTTAATTCGAGTATGTGCAAACATCTCCTCCCATGCTACAACTTAAGGCTAGTTAGAACTTTCAGATAGTCTGAAGAAAATTAGGCAAATAGTGGAGACAAAAGATGTAGTTCTCAACCTTATCAACAAATTGAGAATTAATCATCAGGCCCAGATGGTATCCATCCTAGAATTCTTAAATAATTCAACTATGAAATGGCTCATCATCTAACAAAAATATGCAGCATGTCTCTAAGAGCAGTCTCTGTACTGAAGAATGGCCAACATAACACCATTCATTTTTTAAATAGGCATGATCCAGGAAATTACAGACAAGTTAGTTTAATATCTGTTCTGGGTAAATCTGTTGAAAGCATTAGGTAAAATTAAGAAGCATGCAGGAATACAATCCTGAACTTCCACAAAAATTAAGTCCTGCTCATTAGCCTTTTGGAACTCTTTGACCATGTCAATCAACAGGCAAATAAGGGAGATCAGGTAGCTACTGTTTACCTGAATTTTCAAAAGGCTTCTGACTAAAGTCCCACATCATCCTGATAAATCTTAACAGTCATGAAATGAAACAGAGACGTCTACTTATGGATCACTAAGTGTTTGATGAACAGAAAGCAGAGAGTAGCAATAAATCATAAATTTCCCCATGGAGGATACAAAGAGAGGGATCCTGCAGGAATCTATATTGGGATAAATGCTTTTCAACTGAATTAGGAGTGAACTGTGAGGTGGTCAAGTCTGTTTATGACACCAATTTAGTGTGGTAAGTCAAAAGGGGAATGCAGGGAGCTCCAAAAGAATTATCATCTATCCCTTTTCCTATGCAAACTGGGAGTATAGGCTTGAGGAAATTACCCAACCCAGGTGTTTACAAGTCTGCTCTTCATGATATGTTGTTTTAGATTTTTTTCTTTTTATATTGTTGTATTTTAGAAAAAATATGCTATTTTATTGTACTGTTTTTCTGGGTCATTGTGAACTTCTTGAAGAGCTTCAGCTATTGGATGGCACAGAAATGAAATATATATGTATTTAAATAGCCAATACAGTCCGATATAAGGAAATGTACAGTGATGCCCATTGTGGCAAAAAATTCCCAGGCACAAACTGATGGGTTCTGAGCTAGCAGTGACAGACCAGGAGAGAGATCTTGAGGTTCTGGTAGACACCTCAATTAAAATATCCACCCAGCATGCAAATAACATGAAATATGCAAACTCCGTATTACCCATGACTAGGAAAAGAACTGAAAATAACACTGTCAAGATTATATTCCCCTTATACAAATCTATGATGTGACCATACTTAGAACAGTGGGTACAGTTCTGGTCACCATACCTAAAAATGGATATTGCGGAGTTGGGAAAAGTACATAAAAGAGCAACAAAAATTATCAAGGGGCTTGAACAACTTCTGCATAGTTACAAAAACTGGAATTGTTTAGCTTAGAAACAAAACATCTATGTGGAGACAAGATACAGGTGTATAAAATTATACATGGTGGGGAATGGACATATGCATGGAGCAGGCTATCAATGGTCACTTATCCTTATTTCTACATGCTGTCACCAGTAACAGAGGCAATATGTATAGGCAATGCCTATACAAGCTGCTTAAGAGCATGGGTGAGATGATGCTGTTGCTTGGTTTCCCATGGGAAACTAGATGGTCACTGTGTGAATATAATGCTGGGCCCTTAGCAAACTTACCTGCCTTCAAAGTATCTTGCCTGCTTTGGTGATCTCAAATCTTATACCATTTTTGATTGGTCTCATAAAAGTATTATAACCAAGTGAAATTTGGAAATGTTGTCATGATCAACTCGGCTACCTTTGCTTTTGTTTTGTTTGCTTAAACTGGTCCTCATTCCCAGATTACAATCTGTTGGAGGTGAACAGCTGTTCACATCAGAAATAAAAGTTCAAAGCATTGACAGTCACCTCTACTTGATTTGCTTGTTCAAGGATATCTTATCCTTGCAATGTTACCTGCTATTTGATTAAGCTTCCCTCCAGCACCCACCATCATCTAAGGCTGCACAGTAAAATTTTTACCACATTAGCACCATTATCCATTTCAGTAAAACATCCTTCAAAATGCTGATCTTATTTATATATGGGTTTTTTGACTCAACACATTAAGATATAAACCCATTTTAGTGATGGAGAATATAAACCAGAGAATGCATGTTGGACAGGAGGGAAATGTGTTATATTCCAGAAATGGATCCTTGGAAAGAAAAAGAAATATTTGCAATAAAGGTATCCCTATGCATTTTCCTATACCAGGAAAATGCTAATTGTATCTCTTGTAGTTTACTGTCATTTTTAAGCAAGTACTTTTAATATGCAGAAGTGCTCAACCTTTACCTACCTCTTAATAATTCAGTGAGCCAGTCATTAGTTAATAAAGAGAACTGGACAAGTTTTTTGTACACACTTTTGAACGGTTACGTCTGTGCTGTTAGGTAACTCACCTCTTTTTTCTCAAATGGAGGCTGAAATAGCTAAAAATGTCTCAAGGCTAAATCTCAACTGGAATCCACATCCAACCTTGACATTTGTTTCTACAGCACTTCAACATACAAGTGCTTCAGGCTTTCTGTTTTAATAATGTGAATAACTGTAAGAACCTCTGTACACTACACTGACATACTACATAAGCTAAAAGCTTGTATAATTGAGCTTTTCGTTACATTACAATTCTTGTATATTAAAGACAAACTATATAATGAGGGTACAAAACAATTTTGTATGATTCAGACTATTATTTATTCCTAGACCACTTTATCCTAGCAGAGACTACTTTAAGAAGCTTCTTTCTAGTAACCCACCAGACATTCTCCTTTCATTGGATGCTTATCCCATTCCATATTTATAGTCTGGATAGGAAATGTTATGTAGAGATATAACTGAGTTATCAAAGTTCTGGATAAATTCAGTAGTACTTTTTCATACCAGATTATAATGCAGCATTAATTTCTATAGCTTACTATCAACATCAGTATTTTTTATTTTTTCACCTGAAGAAACAAAGTAAGCAACAAGGGCTTATGGCTGCATTAGAAACTTGCTACTGAAGTTTCAAACCTTAGTAATCTTATAACATCTTGTTTGCAGGAAAGATGTTATAAAAAGCAAGGGTGGGAAAAGACTGGTGAGGGGAAAAATCTGACAAGGTGGTCAAATCAGTATCTCATGCTCAAAGTCCAAAGACAAATGAGGGAGGCAGACATTCAAATCAGGCTCTGCTGATCATGTGGTGGACAACTAGAGGTCCAACTAGTAGCCAAGGGCTGCTGGGAGCAAAAGTACCATAATCTAAGCATACCATACTATTCAAAAACACAGAAGTACCATCCCATCGCGATGGAGAAGTTTCACTACTACTAAATTAAAATCACCGTACAGCACCAGAAAGATTTCGAGTTGAATCCTATGCATGTTTAGACAGGGGGGAAAAAGTCCTACAACGTGACTGGGAAGCACTATCAAGAGTTAGTACACAAGCTTTCTTCTTGCCTAAACATGCCTAGGGCTGCACCTTTCTTGCGGCAAGAGTCCAGTTCATCCAACGCACAGGACTCCGGCTGCAACAACTCCTTCGGTCTTTTCGGAGGCACCCACTGGCCGCAGAAGATGCAAAGTCGGGGACGAGCACAGTGGCCGCGGCGGGGCCCGTCGTTGCCAGCCGCGCAGAACAAAGGTCCTCGCGCCGCCCGCCCCCCCCCCGGCCCCCCGCAGAGCCCCTTGCGCGCATCCGACGAAGGGGGCTCCGCTCCACCGACGCCGCTCGCGCGCGACACGTCCGTAAACTTTTCTTTCACGTGCCGCGGAAGACTCTTTTGTTCCTTCGGCTGCAAGACGCACGACGTGCGGCGGGGGGGGGCGGGGGGGGCGAGCACGCCGGACGGGCACTTTGGAAGCCGCCCGATCCGCGGCGGACACTTTCGTGGACCGCGGACCGCCCGGCTCGACCGAGCGCACGGAAGCGCCCGGCCCACCACAGAAACGGCCCTCGGCTGCCACCCCGGATCCACGCGAGTCCCGCGGGAGCCCGTGGGGCTCACCTCGGAGCAACCGTGCGATGGCTGAAAGTCCCGCGGAGGGGAGCGGGCGCGGGGGAAGGGGCCGCGGACAGGGCACGGGGCTCTTTGTCCCTCCGGCTGCACCGCGGGCGCCCGCAGAACGTGTGGCCACGCTCACGACGTCGGCGACTCTTCCCGCGAGGCGTGAACCGGCCAGCCCGGCGCTCCTGAGGAGAAAACTCGCGGGGGGCCGGCGGCGGGAGCGGCGGCCGAGGGGGAAGCCCGCTAGCCGGGGGGCTCTGAGGGAAGGCCGGGAGGCCGAGGGGGCGTTACCTGGGCTGCAGCCGGGGTCCCGTGTAGGACGCGCCACGGGGGGCCCGAGAAGGGCCGGGGCGCCCCCACCCGCTCCTCCGCGGCCGCCGCTCTCGCCTCGCCTTCCCGCCTCCTCGGCAGCCGGGAGCGAGGAGGAGAGCGGCGGAAGGGGCGCCTCGGCCGGCGGCGCGGCGGCCTCGCCTCAGTGCGCGCGCGCAGAAGGCCTCAGGCGCGAGCAGGCAAGAACGTTCCAACCGACAGTTGTTGCCGCCGCCGCCCACGTCGTGTTGTTGTTGCTGCCGCTGCCGCTGCCGCTGCTACCGCCGCGGCCGCCGCAGACACGTCCAGCCACTAGCCGCGGCGCATGCGCCACATCCGGGCTCCCTCTCGGCTCCTCCCCGCCCCTCACTATCGCCGCGCTCTCGCCCCCTTCCTCCCTTCAGTTTTTGTTCCGTCTCTCGGCAGCCCCCTCCACCGCCACTCAGTCGCGCATGCTCAGTGAGCCGAGCGCCCATGGTTTCCCTTACGCTAAGCCACCGACGGGTTCCCTGAGGAGCGCGCGGGCAAAGTCTGTGCAAAGGTTGCCAGAATTTCCAGTGGTTTCCTATTGAAGGCAGGCTTCACCACCGATATTATGCATAAAACAGATGAGGACAGTTCATTCATTCATTCATGCATTCATTCAAGGTGCTTGCTTCCTGCTTCGCTGCTTAAAACTGTCCTGAACAATTAACAAAGCAAATTGTTTTAACATACGATCAAATATAAGAAACAAAGCTAATTTAAAAAGCAAGGAGTAATCAAACCTAAAACTATCAAACAAATTGGAACATGTCTGAACAAGCATACCCTTTACTGGAGCCAGCTGGAACTCAGTGGTAGAGCATGTGAAAAGATGTCAGGTGCAATCTCTGGTATTTCCAAGCAGAGCTGGAAAAACTTGCAGAAAATCCTGGAGAGCTGCTGCCAGTCAGTGTTGACACAGCTGTGCTGGGTGGAGCAATGGCCTGCCTGTGTTCCTGTAGAAAAGGGCAACTAAAGGGATCAATGCGATGCAGGAACTCCCTTTTTGGGGAAAGGTTACAACAGCTGAGATTGATTAGCTTAGGGAAAAAGTAGAGTAAAAGGAGACATAATGGGGATGAAAGAATTGTGCAAATAGATGGGGAGGGGTTATCTCCCTCAATACTAGAATCTGGATCATCCGACAAAGTTGAGTGGTGGGGGCAGACCAAAGCACAGGCTTCTTCATGCAGCACCTATACTATGGAATTTACTTTTGACGGCTTGTAGGGATGGCCACTACTTTGGACAGCTTTCAGTGGGGACTGGACAAACTCATGGAGGTTAAGGGTATGAATACATAGCAGTCACAATGGCTATAGGTGCTCTCCAGTATATATAGCAGTGTGCTTGGCAGTGTGCTGATGTACACCAGTTGCTGGGGAACACAGGTGGAAGGATGTTACATTCTACCTGTGGGTTTCCCAAGGACAGCTGGTTGGCCACTGTATGAACAGAATGTTGACTAGATGGACCCTTGTTCTGATCCAGCAAGGCTTTTCGGAAGTTCTTACCCAACTCCTGGAACTCTGGCACAAAGGTGTTTACGAAAGTTCTGGAGTGTGAGGGCAACAGAAAGAGGGAGGGGGAAAAGTTCCTGCTGGGGCATACTGGGAATTGTAGACCTTTCGTCTATCTACACTTGCAAGGATTATGTCCTTAATGCAATTTGAATATATCAAGATGAGTTAGCAAAGGGAAGAGATTACAAGTTCAGTGATCTTTAATGTGAAGCTAGAGAGAAGTTTGCCCAAGTTTGAGCTGATTCCAAAGCCAGTGGGTAGAAAGATTGGCAGGACAGACTGAATGGATGCTTGCAATCCCTTAGGGAAGCCTTATCACTTAGCCTTGCCAATGCAACAGAATCTCAAGGAAGTTGGGATAAGGGTTATCAACACCTATTGTAGCTAAGAGTACATTTTGCCAAACAGAAAGAAAAGTATGTTTGAGATATGCAAAGCAACCAGGAAAGCAGGAAAAGCTGCATGGGTCTGCCTCAGCTTGATTTCTGCTAGATAAAGAAAGGCTTCCACAGTTAGGGAAAAGGAAATTAAAAACCCTTTCTCCCAGCAAAGGCCAAACTAAGGATATTCAGACTGCTGAACCCACAACTGCAGGAGCTGAGCACAGAGAGAGGACTCTTCTTATTTGCTTTTTGGAAAAGGAGAGAGATGCACAGGCCATGCAGCGTCCTCTCTACTCTTTCTTTTCCTCCCAGTGGTGCAATCAGAACATCAGCACGCTCTGGAAAGTGGCAGCAATAGAAACTGCAGTGGGAAACTAGCTGGCCTACGTCCTGCTTAAATGCAGCAAGAAAACGGCCGAATGAAACAGGGCTCAGCCTGGCTAAGAACACAAGGCAAGGCAAGGCTTCTGCCTTTTGTTCACCCAGCGGCCCACAGGGTCCCACAAGCAGGACAGGCATACAACAGCCCCTTGTTGCCCACCTTCCCACAGCTGGTGTCCATGGGCCTGTGATCCTGGACTGGCAGCCACTGATAGCCTTCCCCTCCATAAATACATTCAGTCCCCTTTCAAAGCCATCCAAATCAGTGCAGACTACGTCTTGTGGAAGCACCACATTCCACAGAATAGCCATTTGCTCTGTGAGCAAGGAAGTCCTTGCTTTGATCTCCCGCCAATCAGCTTCCTTGGTTCTGGCATTATGGGAGAAAGAGAAAAAGGTCTCCTCCTCCACTTTCTCCACACCGTGCATGGTTCTGTGGACCTCGTATCAGGTCTCTCTTTACCTTTTCCCTAGCCTCAACGGTGCCAGATGCTGAAAATGTTCTCGAACACGCTGCTGCATACTCCTGATAATTTAGGTTGCCCTTTTCTGCACTCTTGCAGGTAGAGGTATTGCTACCACTCTACACGACTCTGGTGCGCCCGCAACTGGAGTATTGTGCTCAGTTTTGGGCCCCTCATTGCAGAAAGGATATAGTCAGGTTAGAGTCAGTGCAGCGTAGGGCCACAAGGTTGGTGGCTGGTTTGCAGGGAATGGGTGTTGGGAAAATTTGGATAAATCCTGTCAGAAAAGCATTGCTTCTGTGTGCTTTTGCATTGTGGAATCAATCCTGTATTCCTTCTCAAACCAAGCTAAGTCGCTGTTTAAAATGGCCTTCCTCCCTGGCTCCTTTCTCTCTTCTTTAGCCGTCAGCTACAGTAGACAGGCCATTTAGTCCAAATATACATTATATACCTTCACAATGATTAAATAATAATCATTGTTGGAATTCACAGTTTACCAGGAAGTATCTTTTGGTAGACCAGAGGTCTCCCTGGGCCCTGGCCATTCAGAATGGTGCGAATGCATTACTTAGGGTATGAGTCTAGATTAGCTTATGGGTTCATGAATAGTTCTCAGCAGCTTGAATTGACATGACTAAGAAGACCTGGAGATGGGTTCAAATTACTCAACTAAAGTGCCAATACACTGCAATTAGTACTATTGTAATCTCATTGTCACTGTATGATTGACTGACATTCCTTTATCTGTTCTGTATGTGATGACCTCAGAATCTTATTGTAATCCCTGCATTCTGTCATTAATTGCTCTGTACCTGTGTACATGCCTGGGAGGGTATAAAATACCCTGTAGTTGTATTGAAGCTTTCCAGCGAGTTTACCTCTGCCTGCCTGGTAATGCATTATCGTCAGTCTACCACGGGAACCTGGGCCAAACACTAAAGCCACAGATGGTCTGGACGCTTGATCTTTCCCACGAACCTGAGTTTTATTTCCTCCTCACGAATTGAAATTCCAGGATTTTCTGACATGGGGTATGAGGCGAGACTGAGGGAACTGGGTCTCTTCAGCCTGGAGAAGAGGAGACTCAGAGGGGATATATTGGCAACATACAGGTATATGAGGGGGTGTCACACAGAGGTGGGTAGAGACCTGTTCTCCCCTGCAGAGGAAGGCAGGATGTGCTCCAACGGAGCAAAGCTCAGGGAGCCAAGGTTCCATTTGGATGCCAGGAAGCACTTCCTGACACTCAGGACCCCGAGGGTGTGGAATGGGCTTCCACGGGAGGTCGTTGAGGCCCCATCGGTGCGGGTGTTCAAGGATAGGCTGGACATCCACATGGTGGGCATGTCGTGAGCGGAGCCGGCTGGTGCGGGAGGTCAGACTGGATGGCCCGGGAGGCCCCTTCTGACTCGCTCTGTTTCTGTTTCTATGTTTCTTGGCCATTCTACAATATCTCTTTTTCATGGCCAGAAGAGCACGTGGCTTTCCAAGTGCCATCGCAACACAGATTTATATAAGGGCTGTCTGACCTTGGCAGTTTTATTTTCGGTTCCAGCTTCTACTGCTCTTCAGACGGTTGCATTTGTGCCATACGCGTTTTTTTAGGTGAGCGGGTGGGGGGAGCAGGGAAGGTTGCACATGCACTGGCACTTCCTGTCCAGGTGAGGGTCCACTTTGCTTCAAGGTGGGGCCACCCCTGGGAACAGCTCTCCAGGATCTGAGGCAAAAGTTAATCCCATCCTCTGATCTTTTTAACTGAAGATGCCAGAACTGGAATTTGCATGCAAATTCTGCATGCAAAGCATGAACTCTGCCACTAACATATGTTTTTCAGTGGGATTTGATTAAAATCCATTTCAGTAGCAGTCCAGCCACACACCATTTTTTACCCCATTCCTGTTGTTAAATAGCACCCCCAAACTTCTGCTATTTGGGGAAAGAAGAGGCATGTGTTGGCAAGAGAATTTACTTTCTTGGTCTTGGAGAAAAAAACAAAATATACCTTGTTAGGAAGAAAATTGGTGTGTTCAGAACATAACACTGGAGGGGAGCTTTGCAAATACCCTGGACCAATAGAAAGACAAGCAAATCATGCCAGAACTTTCCCTAGAAGCAAAACATGGCAAAACGGAGACTGTCATACTTCAGACACATCATGAGAAGGCAAAACTCCCTGGTGAAGACAATCATGCTGGGGAAGGTGAAAGGCAGAGGAAGAAAAGGAAGACTAAATATGAGAGAGAATGACTGCATCAAAGAAGCCACATGCTTGAGTTTATAGAAGCAGAGCAGGGCTGTCAGGGACAAGACATTCTGGACGGCTTTCA